GTCGTGTAGCGACAATCCGCACAAAAAGGACTACACGATTGATCAACTAGAAGTAATCCGAGGCTAAAAAGAAAGGATCTTGTACATAATTTATTTTGCATATTCACTATTTTTTAATTTTTTGATATGAGATATTATATATAGTTTATATTTATATAAACTATTTTTTAAATTTTAAATGTGAATAATTATACTATATTTTATGCTTATATTTTTTTATAGCCTATATCTACATGTATTATTTTAAAAGTTTTTCATGTAGGATATTAAAACATCAAACATAATATTTTTTTTTATTTTCTCTAATTAATCCGAATCAACTTGTATAATTTGAGACTTGACTTCTTCACCAAGTAAACTTCTAATTAGATTTAAAACCTATGAAATTAACTAAGGTACTTTTACCTTGAATTAGGTTCTTTAATAATATCCAAACTACCTTTTGTGGTCACATGAGAATAATTTAAAGTCTACCAGTTTTTTATTTTTATTTTTTAAATTATAATTAACCAGGTATGTCTGTTAAATTATATTTATTGTATTGATTTTTTTTACTTGATTCTTTACTTGATTTGTTTTATTTTCTTCATTTAGTATTTTATTTATTTTAAGTCTAAATACCAGTTATCTAAGTATAAGATTTCAATATGTGTTTTCTTTTTTTTGGTTTTTCTTGATATTATGTATTTTTTTTATAAATAAAAAACATAAGGGTTAGAAGAAAATGTTTGTTACTGCATTATAACTTACTTTACAAATTATTATTTTTACTTGAAAAGGCATTAAATTAATTTTTTTAAGGTGTTTTTGAATAATTTTGATTTGATAATATCAAAAATATAAAAAAATAAAAAAAATATTATTTTTATGTATTTTCAATTGAAAAATATCTTGCACTACAATATCGAACACACTTCATATGAGATTTCAAGCATACAAATATCAATATCTCATTAAATTAAATTAAAAAAAATAAAAACAAAAAAGGTTTTACTATGCCCTTAAATCACTATTCATTACAATAGTGATTTAATAAAATTGCCTATAGCCCAAAAACCCTTTCAATTAGGTATTAGGGTAAGATAATATTTTCACTAATTAGTATTTAAAAATGCATTTTTATCAAGGTTTTATACCATTATTTTGTACTTAAAGTATCAATAACTCCTTAACTAAAGCATGTTTTATAATAATATATCTAATAATATAAGATATCTTTAATTTATGGTAAATGTTTATTTTAAATGCAGGCACATTGCTTCATTGCTTTACTAGGTGGTCTAGGCACATTAGAAGAGATCTTTCATATTTCCTCTTGGGCATCACATAAATGAAAGGATTGATTGATGACTTTAAGAACTTAAATTGCAAGGGCAAAAAGATGACCAAAATTAGAAAAGAGATGTCGGTGCAATCCAAACTGAAATACTCTTCAGTAATTGGGTCATATCTGGAGCTATAGATCTTAGATTTAGGTCTACTTTATATGGATGGAAAGGTAAGATATAGGCCTACAACTTTCATATGGAGCCCAAGATCTAAAAAGACAATTTTCAAGTCCAAATTGTTG